ATTGTCTTATGTTTAATGTTTCCTTCCTTCTCTCTCTGCTTCTCTCTTCCACACCCTCGGTTCCCTTCCTCTGTCCTCCCCTGTCCCTCTCCACACCACCACCAGTGCCATCAATTATTCATCGACACCGACGGGCGCCCTTCGCTGCTGCCGCTGCATCGTGGCATCGCTGTATGGGCACACACACACACACAAATATCTATCAATCTTTTATGATCTAGTTCCTCTCTCTCCCTATCTTTTCATATCGCTCAAGTTTATCAATTTTTAATTAGGAAAATTTGGCGCCAAAGTCTTTTTTTTGCTGCGCTGTTATCTCTCCTAGGGCTCCTAGGGGCGCAGAGGACGTGTGTGTGTGTGTTTTGCACTGATATTGAAGATTGATTGAAAATTTTTTCTTTTTTCATTACTTTTTCTAGCAAAACTAATATTTGAACAACGGTTTCTGTGCTGGTTTTGCAAAATAATATTTTGCAAAGACAAAAAACTAGCTTTTAGAAAATCAAAGTTGATCAGCAGATAAAAAGTTTTGAATCTAAAAAGGGTTCTGGCAAAATTAAAATATCCAGGTTTTTTTCTAAACACGTTCTCTACATTCACATGTTTTGCAGCCGTTTTTCCTTCTGATTCTGATGCCAAACTCTGCAACGCTTGCACGGTAATTTATGCGTCCCCACTGCTGCTCTCATTCAATGGTCGTCCAACTCTCAAGTGACTACTTTTGACTTTTTGAGCTCTCACTTAGTTGCCTGCCTGCCGCTTATTCCCGGCAATTGTCACAGTCTCTCGCACCGAGTCGGACCAAGTGGCCATCCGCCTCCTCCACCGGCCATTTCACTCACTCATTTTCACCGACACTCATCCACTGCAGTTGCTAATGATCGTATTAGCAGTCTTGGCTACGGATGTGGATAGTGATGATGATGATGATGATGATAGCGAATTCTTTGTCAATCACACACTTTTATTATATTCTAGGCTTCAGGCAGCCAAAAGGAGAGCTACCACTCTCTTTCTTCTTATTGTCGGCTAATCTGACAAAGCTGCCATTGCTTTTTGTCCGTCCCAATCCGTCTCTAATCCTTTAGTCTGCCACACGCGTCAGAATTTTCAGAGCTTTGTTCTGCAGGCTAGGCTAGGCTGTTGTCGCCCGATCAAAGCAATGCAAGCACAAGAGGAAGAAAGAGAGAATGGTAATGTGCGCCCAATGAGTCTCCAGTGGGCCTCTCCTCCTCCTCCCTCTGACTCGCACTCAATTAGCCCGATTAAATCACGCTCTCGGAAGACACCTCAGAGAGTCGGTAGACGGGCTGCTTGGTTGGGCGCAACGATGCATTCTTTCTCTCTTTGGGTATTGCCTCTCTCACTCACACGTTTCAATCGATTCTATCTATTGGTGGATCAGTGGTCTCGGTCCTCACTGTGTGTGTAGTGTGTGGTGTGTGTTCCAGCAGATGTCTTCTTTCCCCTGGTTCTTCATTGGTTTGTGCTGTGCTAAGCAGCAACTTCATTGCCGCTGCCGCTGCCACTGCTGCTGCTTATCTCGCGGTACTTATCTCTTGCACCACTTTGGACCACGCAGACAGATGGTTCCCGAGTGCTTGCTTGTGCCTGGTGCTGCTGCTGCTATTTCTGCTATTTCTGCTGCTGCTGCTTGGTGGTGCCTGGTGCATCGGCAGTGCTTCTGCAGCAGTAGATTTGTCCAGATTGAGTGCACTTTCTCGTTTTTTCCTCCTGAAGGACTCGGAGTGCGATTTTATTTGCACACTCTGCGCAATCACGGCCTTTTTGCTGTTTGAGCACCAACGAAAATGGCAGTATCGCACCGCTGCTGATGTTTTGACTCCAACTCTCTGTGTGCTCGTGCGAGTTCAGTACTGATGATGATGCTGATGAAGCTGATGATGATGATAGCATCTTCAACTTTTTTTGTAGATGAGCACGAGTGCAACGATGAACAGCAAAACAGTAAGGTGTGTGTGTGGGGTGGTGGGTGATGCAGTGACGCGAGCAGTGTCCATCACGTCCTCCCTTCCTTCCTTCCTTCGTCACCATCGCTCTCCACCATTGCCGTTAGCATTATCTTTATTGGAAGTGGTGGAAGAACTGCCGTCAATCGTGGAACGCCATCGATGCACTGCCGGTGCACTACCGCACTGGTCATCCCGCTATCTGCAGTCCAATTAGCGGTGGTCGTGGTGGTGGTGACTGTGTAGTCAGTCTAAGGTCAATTGCTCTATCACCACCACCACCTCCTCTTCTTCTTTTTTTCTGCTCTATCTAGCTACACTTTACTGCTCTCTTATCACCTTTTGGGTGCGAGCACAGACGCTTTAGATGGTGGTGGACACTCAAAAAGAAAGATTTCATTTCATTTCTTTTGCAGCAGATGAAGCAGCAGAAGCCGTAGACGCAGCCGGCCGGCCACTTTTCGGCCATTTTTGGCAGACAGACAGTTTTTTGTGACTGCTGTGTTCTTGTCGCGCCAATCTGGCCGATGGCCGGCTTCTGCCGCTGCTCGATATCTAAACGACATGTTTGCTCAGTGAGCAGTGAGCTCTGTGTGCCCGATGCTCCCCTTCCCCTGCTGCAACTTCTGCAGCCGTTCTTATCGACTTTTTACTTTTTCTTCGATTGCAAGTTTTCTCTGCACAGCAGACTCCTCTCTTCTCTCTGTCCACAATCTGCCGCATCATCAACTTTTTTTCCTTCTTTCCTGCCCTATCTGTCGCTCTCTTTGTGCCAATTAGGCAACACACTGCTGGAGTAGAGCAGGACAGAACAGAGTGATCCAGAGGAGACAGTGGTCAGTGTTTGGTGTCACTGTCACAGACACTGTTTTCCTTTTTTCTCGCCGCTGCTGCTTTCTTCTTCCGACCAGATTGCTTCTTCAGTTGTCTGTTGGGTCGCGAGCGTAGGTCAGCTAGCTAGTGCAGCGATTGCTGGGGTCGCACAGAAGTGCTGCTGCTGCTGATGGAGTGGCCAGTGTCGTTGGCGGCGGCGTTTCACTTACAAAATACACAGACACAATTTGTCTGCAGGCTGCACATGTCTTCTGGCTTTCTCGCTTTGCCGTTGCCGAACACACGACACACTCGCCCGGCTGATATCACTTATTACATCAACGAGTGCTGCTGCTGTTGCTGGCATCATCAGCACCTAATGCAGCAGCATCGGTTGGCACATCTTCTCACTTCCGTTTCCTTCTCAGTGTAGTGTTTGTGACTGTGTGTTTTCGGTGTGCCCTTTATGCTGCTCTCGATGATACAACAGCCGTTCTCTGCCATCCATCCACTCGCTCGTCACATAACAGCTTTTCTCGCTGTTGGCAGCAGTGCTCCGGAAACAGTTTGTCATCGAAGCTCGAAGTTTGCCGCCGCTGTCGTATGATTTGTTTAACAGTGCAGTGTCAGCGTCAACAAACTTTGTGCACTCTAGCCTTTCCTTGAGAGTGGGAATCGTATGCTCACTGGTAAATACACACATACTCTCCATGCTTGGTTCTACTGGCTCTACTGTCAAGTGAACAGCAGATTTTTCCCCTGTCAACGAGTTGACGGCAGCAGCAGCAGAAACTTTGCACAGTTTTTTCTCCTCTGCCATATCATTACAATAAGTTTGACTGCTGCTGTTTCTGAGAGAATATTTTGCTCTCTACTACTGTCACGTTCGCCTGTGTATTAATTATCATCAATGTTTGGTGTAATGTTCAATTGGCAGACACTTCTTTTCCTTTGCACCAACTCTAGCACGTGGCACAGGAGCACGTTCCAACATGGCTGAGACATGGCAGAGTTGAATGTGTTGTACAGGCAAAACTATTGCTGTTGCTGATGCTGGGAGCGGCCCTCATTCTTGACAAAGTCTCTTTTGCCCGTACAACTGTTCACGTGGCAGCCACCTCAGTTTGGGTGGTAGTGGTGGTCCTACGTTCTAATTCGTACCTTTCGATGGTTTTCACTTTTTTCTCTGGCCACCATTGCCGCTGTTGCTGTTGCTGTTTTGTTTTGACGTGCGTGACGAATCACAGCTCGGCGCTTGCTCTTCACTGTATAGCCAGTGAATAGGAGTTTGAAGCTGAAGTTCATAAAAGTTTGGCCCAGCTTAGCTGTGGAGGCCTCCAGCAGCATCAGCACCGTCTAATCGGCCACTCGACCAGACACGGAAAAGGCGGCCTGCAGAGCACGTGCCAGCGAACGAGCGGCAATGGCGGTGGTGGTGGCAGTGGTGGTAGTGGTGGCTGCAATGTGCACGCGACACGGTGCCATGATCCAGGCACTTGAGATTCAGTTGGCCTGCGAGTTACCGAGGACAAATTGCCCCCTCTCTTTGAGCATACTGTTGACGTCATCCAAGAGCGGGAGAAGGAGAGGAAAAAGGGGATTATTATTACCGTTCATCGGACGATGGTCTGCATGACGATGATGCTCTTCATCAGAGCGCAGACCTTGTCTTGACTTGCGTCACGCCACGTGGCCCATCCATTGCCCATGTGACGGAGCAGTGGATTCTGGGGGCACTGAAGTAGCAGTGCCAGCAGAATCGGCTCCCAGGGCTCCCACTTTTTGTTCTCCTCGCTGCACTTTTTTTCTGTGAAAGCTGCAATTTGTGCCCGCGAGCAAATGATGCTATTTGGGTTTCTCTATTTTGGTTCTCTTATTCACGATTGGGCCATTATTGCTGCTTTTTTACTGTTTTCTTTTTTCTCCTACCTCAATTGATTAGTGTTTTTTCATCAGCGACAGTTGCAGCTTCGGCAATCGGCGTCAAAGTAGCAAAGTCGACTGCTGCACACCAATTTGCTCATTTGCGGTCTGTCTGTCTGCTGCAGCCTGCCTGCCTGCTTGAGCGTGTGTCAATTAGCGTAATTGAATTAGCTACTGTACACTGCAACTACTTTTACTTTTTTCCTCTGTTTCCTTTTCTCAGTACCACCAATATCTCTAATAATAAATCGACTAACATGACTTTTCTTTCTTCTTCTTCTCCTTCTCTTGTAGGACGGCCGTCAGCTGAACATTGGTCAGATGCGTGGTGTGCCGATGATCACCTCCTCGCCGGTGCGGCACGACAGTCCCGACCAGATGATGCCCATGGACGTGCACAGCTACCAGCCGCCCTGGAAGGCGCTGGCCGACTACGCCGCCATGCACCAGCAGTCAGAGCTGGATCCCAATGCGCCTCAGTTTCAGCATCTCGTCTCACAGGTAAGGAACTTTTAGGGGGTGTTTTTTGAATTCAACATTTTTCAATTGTGTTTTTGGTTGTGCTGGTTTTAAGGTCTTAGCAAAGGAGACAGTTTTTGTCAGTTTTTTTGGGTTGACTGCAGAAAATGCTTTCTGGGTGTAAGTTTGGTACATTCGGTGGCAAAAAACTATCTGTCTTTTTGTTTTTACAAACCCTGTCGACACAGTTTTGTTTTAAGTTTTTTGTGTCTTCTGTTTTTAGCACTTTGAGCAGTGTCTTCAGTTTGTAACCCTATTGTCTGCTGAATCCTATTGCATCCTTTGCTGCATTCACTGCTTCCTCATCCGGACAGCAGCACCAGTAGCATATGCTCCAGAATTTTCAGGCGCCACTATTCTATTTCAGTCTGCCGTTTTGTCGGCACAGCAAAGAATAAGTTTTCTCTCTCTTCTTCTCTGACAAAGTAGAAAGCAGGCACTTTTCCTTCTTTTTCTCCTTCTTCTTAAAGAAGTACTGAGCAGAGAGCACAGCAGCCAACACTAACATCAGCAGAAAACCTGACCCTATATAAAACGTCGCCGAACGTGTGCTCTTCGGTTTGCACTCAGTACGCCGGCAAACTCCCGTCGCCGTCGTCGTCGTCGTTGCTGATGTTGCTGCTGTTGTTGGCAGCACCGCCGTCAGTGACCCTTCCCAGTCCTCCTCAGTCGGTGGCGAAGGACAATTGAGAAGTACTGGGGGAACAACGCTACTAAGTCTCCCTCTGCTTTGCTCTACTCTCCGCCCTAGCACGACTGCAGCAAGTCTTTGCTATCCTTAGTCTCCGCGAGAATGAATGAGTTTCGAGAACGAGGACGAGGACGACGATGGCATTGAACGAATGTGCCTTGGCTTGTTTTGCTGCGAAAAGAGAGAAGAAAGTTGCTAAGAATGGCGCTTTCCAATTCTCTATTGATCGAGGAAGAGAAAGAGAGAGAGAGAGAGAAAGATGGCGGCTATATATCGCCGGCGTTTGGCGTCAACGACGGCTGCAGCAACAGCAGACAAACACACAGTGCTTTCTCAGTGTCATTAAGATGGCCGTTAGATGAGTAGAAAGAGAGGGAAAGAAGAAGGACAAAATAGAAGTAGAAAGAATAATAATACTACTGCTACTAATAATAATAACGATGATGATGATGATGATGATGATGTCGATGACGCCTCGAGTGAGCTGGGCGCCATCAAGGAACGGGACTTGCCAGCCAGTCAGCCAACAATCTGCTCCTCTTTTATTCATGAATCAGTTTTTCTTTTTTTTTGTATTTTTTGTTATTTTGTTGTCTGTCGTCTGAGCTTGGTTGTGCCACTTCAGCCTGTGGTGCTCGGTGAAGCGAGAATTTATTCTTTCTTTTTCTTTCTTTTTCAATTCTTTTCCTCTTCACTCTCTAACAAAAGCTCTATTTTTTCTTTTTTCTATTTTCAGATGCACGGCTATGACGGCGTCGGTGGCCTTGGAACGCCTGGCAATGAGACCAGCCTCTCCTCGCTCGGTCATGGTGGCCCTCCCACCGGGCCCTGTACGCCCATGTCCTACCTAGGTACGTCACTACTTTGTTAATGCTGATTCACCACTAGTGCAACTACCACCATTTAATTTGCAGCAGTTTTTTGACCGGAAAACCGACCTTTCTTTGTCTTTACCACAGACGCCGAGCTGCACCACACTCACAGTAACCTCTCCTCAGACCTCTCCAGCCCGTGCACCAGTGAATGAGAAGAATGAATTGCCGAAATCCGTTTTTCAAGTCGCCTTTATCAGTTTTGTACATAAACATCTTCTTCTCCACTTTGTTTTTGTTCAACCACCGCCTCTACTGAAGAGGAGAGGGAACTCCACTTGGCCACAGCTACTTACTACTTTATAGCCATGTTTGACTCGGACTTTCTGTTTCTACTTCTCCAGTGATAAGGCAGATTCTTCTTCTTCTTCTCACCGATGACAAGTGCAACAACAAACAAATGGGTAGGCCCTGAAGATGCTTCTACTTAAGTTTCATTGCTGCTACTACTTCTACTACAAATTACGCTTTACTACAAACTACTGAACAAAACTACGACCTCTTTCATCACCATCGCCACCATCGCCATCATCATCATCATCATTATCATCATTATGACCATTACCAACTGTCAGCAAGCACGTAGCGCTTAGCACGTCGGTTTGCTGCTGCATTGTTAGAGCAGAGGAAGGCTAGAGAGGGAAAGATAAAAGAATAAAAATGGCTGTCCTTTTTTCTCTCTCTTTCTTTGCACACCTTCCTCCTCTTCTTCCTCATTCGTTGTTGTCGTTGTTGACGTCGTTTACTTCGTTGGCCTGCTGCAAAAGCACACACACAAATCTGCAGCACACTTAACACACACACAACTTTCTGTCCACACCATTGTCAAATAGCACCATCACAATCATCATCATCATTTTGACAGCTTTCCTTCTCTCTCTTTCATGTAAATCTTTCTCTGTCTTCTGTGTATTATATAATGCCCTCACTCGCTTTTCTACTCCATTAAAGTATTTAAGTTTTCTACACTAGTTTGTCTGTCTCCTATTTTTGTTCTAGCTACTCCGGGCACCAGCTTACTTCCGGAGAGACGACCACTCGTTGTCCTCGTCAGTGCACTCGTCGTCGTCGTCCAACTGTCCTCGGTGACCAGAGAGACTGCTGAGAGTGCTGCTGCTGTTGTTGCTGGCCACGTGGCGATATTTGCGGTGTCCATTGCACAAGCAGGCACACTACTGTTTCTGTGTGCTGACAAACTGCTGATGCTGATGTTGTCAATCGATCACTGCGTGTGGATAGATGTTCAGCTTTCTTAGTTTAGTTTAGTTTCAGAGCAAATATTGGCCGTAGTGGTGGTGGAAGGGAAGGAAACCTCGTGCTGCACTTAGTCGACAGTGCCTGCAGTGGCCAAGAAGAAATCACAGCGGTGAATTCCACTTCCAAACTGACCAGATCTGTCTGATCGACGGCAGACTCAGGGCTGAAGAGCGGAGAATGCTCTCCGGAGAGTTCGCCGAATCACCATTCACCCGAGCATCATCAGTTACATCGTCTCCTGCTGCCGTCTTTTTTCACAGCAGTTCATCGCCACTTTGCTTGCTTGCTTGCCCATCTCATCTGTCTCCTTCACTTTTTGCATATAATTTTTTCCTCTCCTTTTTTCTCTCAGTACGTATCTACCTTCTCTCAGGAGAGTGCTGGACTTGACTTTGCACTTGAGAAGTAGCAGTATCTTCCAATAGTCAGCAACAGTCAACAGAGCACTGCACACACACATACATACAGTTCAATAGAACTAGTCAGACAGTTTGTCTTTGGGAAAGTTTGGCACTGGTGAGGCAGACAGCTTCATTCATTCATTAGCCTACAAAATCAATGCCTACCATAACTGTGAATGTCAAATGTCAATGGGTTGAATCTACTGCCCTTGTCTTAATGATGGGCTGATAGGGTAGTAAACAAAAGCAGTTTTTTAATTTTAAGCTCTTTATGTGCAATTAGCATTTTTACTTTTTGTTGAATACACACACACACAACCTTTTCTTCAATTTCATCATTTTTTTGTTTTTTGGTTTATATTTGCATCATCTTACATAATGAAATCACATTAACTTTGATCCTATTCTAATTAAGAAACAAATGCTAAAAAGGGTAAGTGCTTCTATTCAGCTGATGATTTTGAATGCAATTTTGATTTTATCGTCCACAAACTGAAAAGCGGCAAACCCTTTTCATCAGTCATCGTTCATCGTCCTCTCTTTTTCAGCGCTAGCTAATTTTAATTGCAACGGCGGCGGCGATAGAAGATCAGGTTATCTGCTCGATTGAANTTGTTTTTTTGGTTTATATTTGCATCCTCTTACATAATGAAATCACATTAACTTTGATCCTATTCTAATTAAGAAACAAATGCTAAAAAGGGTAAGTGCTTCTATTCAGCTGATGATTTTGAATGCAATTTTGATTTTATCGTCCACAAACTGAAAAGCGGCAAACCCTTTTCATCAGTCATCGTTCATCGTCCTCTCTTTTTCAGCGCTAGCTAATTTTAATTGCAACGGCGGCGGCGATAGAAGATCAGGTTATCTGCTCGATTGAAATGCAAATGTCAATTCGCTTGTTTTCACAGCCAATGTGTCTGCTTTGATGGTCGTTGGCAGTCTGTCTTGTGTCCCCCTTCTTCACGGCGGACTATGCTCAGTTCTCAATGCAAAGTGGCCTCACACTCTCTCTCTCTCTCTCTCTTTTATTCTCGATTACAGTAGACTAGCAAATTGACACTTGACTGTCGGCGCGGCACTTCTTTCAGTCAGTCTCGGTCTCCCTGTCTGTGTTTGTTTGTTTGTTTGAGCGGCCATTATTAGTCAAATTGGCCGATGAAGAAGATGAAGATGGAGGCACACGAACAGAGACTGGCAGGAAGCCAGAAGATGGCTCGAGCCTCGCGTGCCTCTCGCATCACATCGCATCGCCCCCTCCCCCTTCGTCGCCTTGGCCTCTGCTCAGGCGCCAGGCGGTCGCACTTTTACAGCAGTGTTCACCAAGAAAAGTGAGCCACTATTTGGTGGGGGCTTCGGTGGAGGACGCTGCCATAAAACCCAGACAGAGTGACACCATCTTCGTTTTCGTCTTTTTGGTCGTCGTCTTGTGTCTTGTGTCACCACAAGCATTCTCGCCAGAAAAAGGGGAATTTTATGGCCATCAGAAGCAGACGAATATCGAGTTTAAAACCCTGCACTAGCCACTAGCCACCAGCCCAGCTTTTCCGAACCCTTTGGCGCAGAATCTTATCGCACGTGCCATTCTCTGTGTTGATTGTTGACCACATCTGTCTTTGTCAACTCCTCTGCAGCGTCTTTGGCAACTCTCCTTTTGGTCCTTGTCACAAAATTAGCCCGCCAATCTCAGCGTCTCATCGCCACCACCACGGACCAATTAGACCTAAGCAGCCATGGCCGGCGGTCTTCTTCTATCGCTGCTGCTGCTGCTAACTCTCTCTGAGATCAACACTCAATTGGCTTAGCAGCAGCAACAACTTCTCCTTTTGTGCATTGAATAAAGCCATCTCGAGTTACTTTCTTTCCCTTTGCTCGGTGCTGGTGGCAATTACCATCCGCTGAACGCCGTCCGTCGCCACCACTGTTGATCTTTCTGGAGATCTCCTTCTTCTTTTATGGCCCGCTCTAGCGACAGCACCACCATTGGCTATAACTGTCTTTTATGGCTAATAGAGCTCGCGTAGATTGGCTATTGATATTGTTGTCTCCGGCAGTCTCCTCATTGCAGTACTCTCTCTGTCGTCTGACCTGTGAACTGTGCTCTGTGACTGACTTACTCAGTGTGTCCTCTCATCTCCTTCGGTGTTGATTATGATTTTTCTCGCGCGTCTCTTTCACTTTCTCGGCGTCTGCTGTTGCTGCGTGTTTTTCAGCTTCCATTTATCATCACTGTCGGCAAAGCTGGCTGCAACTATTCTGCAGCTGTATCGTTATCCGTCGTCTTGCAGCAGAGGATCTGCTTACCAGTTNCCTGTGCTCTGTGACTGACTGACTGACTTACTCAGTGTGTCCTCTCATCTCCTTCGGTGTTGATTATGATTTTTCTCGCGCGTCTCTTTCACTTTCTCGGCGTCTGCTGTTGCTGCGTGTTTTTCAGCTTCCATTTATCATCACTGTCGGCAAAGCTGGCTGCAACTATTCTGCAGCTGTATCGTTATCCGTCGTCTTGCAGCAGAGGATCTGCTTACCAGTTGAACCAACGAAAAGCATCACTGACACTCTCTTTCTGGCTCTTTGCTGAAAGCCAGCAGCAACAGCAGCAGTCTCTTTGTCGCCGTCTTTTCTTTTATCATCTCTTGACCTTTCACCCCCAAACACCACTGACTTGGTCAGTTTACTTTACTCGGGATCACTCACTCACTCACTTGGAGGAGGAAAGGGAGGCGGTCGAATAAAGGGGACTACTACGACCATTACTACCGCCACTTTCTTCAGCTCACCAAAAGCCACAAATGTGATTGTCTTGAAGGAGGCGGCGGCAGTGGCGGCGACGGCAGACGATGTGCGATCGCGTAATTGAGTACGAAGACAAAGACGAAGACGCCGCCGCCGGTCTCACGCGTCAGAGCGTAAAAGCGACTGCCAATTCACAACCTTATCTTCCTACTCAAACAATTTTTGAAAAGCTTTAAAACGCTGGGCTCTCAAATCTCAAGGCCAATTCAAATTGATGCGTGATGCAAAACCACTTAGAGACACCTCCACCAGACCCAAAAAAACCAGCCCAAAGATGAGCTGGAGAGTGCTTTGGCCTTTCCTTGCCAACCAATTTACTAGAACAAGGGCAGCTCTAGATAAAGCTAAGCATCTTCTTCTTTTCACTTTCAATCCTGCAAGCTGAAAGCCTCGACCATTAATCAGTGCAATGGAGCAATTTGTCGCTATCGCGCCATTGCCTGGCTATCTTACCGGCCATTTGGAAGGCTTTTATAGTCACACCTAGGCTGATGCTTTCAATTTCAATGTCGCAATTTCTGATCC